ATAGTTTATTATTAGATACAAGACCAAGGTGAAGTTGATGTAGTTTGGTATTAGATACAAGACCAAGTTGAAGATGATAGTTTATTATTAGATACAAGACCAAGGTGACGATGATGTAGTTTATTATTAGATACAAGACCAAGGTGAGGATGATGTAGTTTGGTATTAAATACAAAATAGATGATAGTTTATTATTAGATACAAGACCAAGGTGAGGATGATGTAGTTTGGTATTAGATACAAGACCAAGGTGAAGTTGATGTAGTTTAGTATTAGATACAAGATAGATGATAGTTTATTATTAGATACAAGACCAAGGTGAGGATGATGTAGTTTAGTATTAGATACAAGAAAGATGATTAAAATTGATGTTGTTTAAAATATGTTTACAGAAGAAGTTGGAGTGTTAAGCACAAAGCTACATATTGGGCTATCTGTAATTTGCCCACCATGGGTATCGAAGCCCTATATTTAGCCTTATAAGCAGGTAAACTTATCACTAAGCCCCTGGGATGGAGAGGGGCGATTTACAAAAGGAAGAACTGTCATTTTTCTTTAAAGTTTCAAAGGAGATTATATTTCTGTTTAAAGATAGCGTTTCGTTTTGATAGTATAGTCTGGTCTTCAGACAGATGGATGAATGTCATTGAATTTTGCAAAGTAAATTAAAAAAAAGTGAACAATATATAATTCTACTCTACCAGGGTGAACAGTAGGTAATCCTAATCTTTCTAGATGAACAATAGATAATCCTAATCTACGAAAGTGAACAATAGATAATCCTAATCTTTCTAGATGAACTATAAATACTTGTACTCTTCCAAGGTGAACAATAGATAATCCTAGTCTACCAAAATGAACAATAGATAATCCTAGTCTACCAATGTGAACAATAGATAACCCTAATATTTCTAGATGAACAATAGATAATTGTATTCCTCCAAAGTAAACGACAGATAATCGTAATCTACCAATGTGAACAATGTATAATTTTAATATTTCTAGATGAACAATAGATAATTGTATTCTTCCAAGGTAAACGACAGATAATCGTAATCTACCAATGTGAACAATATATAATTTTAATATTTCTAGATGAACAATAGATAATTTTACTCTACCAAAGTGAACAATAGATAATCCTAATATTTCTAGATGAACAATAAATAATCCTAGTCTACCAAAATGAACAATAGATAATTTTAATATTTCTAGATGAACAATAGATAATCCTAGTCTACCAAAATGAACAATAGATAATTTTAATATTTCTAGATGAACAATAGATAATTGTATTCTTCCAAAGTAAACGACAGAAAATCGTAATCTACCAAAGTGAAAACTAGATAATCTACCAGTGTGTTTTTTTTATAACAAATTATAGCTGATTGCTTGTGGGTCCACGAGTTTTTTGTTTAGAAGGCCTCTAATAATGTTAACAAAAATGTTATCAGTAGTATAATTAATCCCACCAATTACTGCTGAGGTCCTCTATATATTCTTACATTCAATATAAGTGATTTCACTCGGTGTTCTTCAGATTTAGTTTTTGTTTGTTTAGGACTTTCGAACCAAGTTACATAAGGGCTATCTGTGTATAGCAGTCTCCGATTTTGAACCGACATAGAGTAGGGGTAAGATAGCTATCTAACAATACCCACCGCTAACTCTTGGACTTTCAGTTTGTTTGTTTTTGAATTTTTACAGTGTCAGTAACTTACATTTTTACAGTGTCAGTAACTTACATTTCTACAGTGTCAGTAACTTACATTTCTACAGTGTCAGTAACTTATATTTCTACAGTGTCAGTAACTTATATTTCTACAGTGTCAGTAACTTACATTTTTACAGTGTCAGTAACTTACATTTTTACATTGTCAGTAACTTACATTTCTACAGTGTCAGTAACTTACATTTCTACAGTGTCAGTAACTTACATTTTTACAGTGTCAGTAACTTACATTTTTGCAGTGTCAGTAACTTATATTTTTACAGTGTTAGTAACTTACATTTTTACAGTCTCAGTAACTTATATTTCTACAGTGTCGGTAACTTACATTTCTACAGTGTCAGTAACTTACATTTCTAGAGTGTCAGTAACTTACATTTCTACAGTGTCAGTAACTTGCATTTCTTTATATACCAACAGGTTTTGAAAACGTGCCTTCCCGTTCCTCACAACGGATTCTGATCGCGGTTTGGTTAGTTGGTTGTTTTGTAACCATGACAGCATTCAGTGGACAGTTAATTTCAAAACTGACGTTGAGAAAAGCCACAGACAGGATTGATAGTTTGGAGGATCTTCTGGATCGACCACAAGTTACTCCCGTCATTGAAAGAGGAAGTTTCTTAGAGTCGGTTATAAAGGTGATCTTTATCGAAGTTTAAAAACAAAACAAAACTGAAACCTACTTTAAAGTTATGTCGGAAACCAGAAATTGAACAATTATATTAGGACATACAAATCGATATTCTGTATTTATAATTTACTACACTTAGGTACTTCTTGTTCTTCTAGAAAGAAGACCAAGGGGTGTACAAGCGACTTTGGGATGTCGTATCTACGAATCCAGAGCATAGACAACCAGTGAGAGAATTGTTAAGCGAAGAAATGATTGATAAAGTAGAAGCGAGGACACATGCTGTTTCTCTACAGTCTATAACCATGAGGGCGGTGATTCACAATCGTTTTAACAAAAACGGATATTGTACTCTGTACATGGCTAAAAAGAAATTTCTAACCAAGACTACGGTAGCAGTCATGAGGAAAGATCTTCCAACGGTTTTGAAGACTCGGATAAAGCAAAAGTTAGCAGATGTTTGAATAAGTTAAAATGATCAAAGATACGTTTCAAAGATCCGCTAGAGTTCGCTTTGTTTTACTTGTGTGTTGTTAAGTGCAAAGCTACAAAATGGGCTATCTGTGCTGCGTCCACCATAGGTATAGAAAACCTGATGGTCAGAGTTGGAACTTTTATAATAATCGTGCTGTTATTTAAAAACAAAAGTGTTTTACAATAACCTTGTTTAACTGCTTGACATCCCTAATGACGTGCATTTGGTTTTGATTCAATAAACCTTAGCAGGAATCTATCTATATGGTCCATTATCTTACAGTACTATTCACGCACAATCTTGTAAACCTTGGCAGGAATCTATCTATATGGTCCATTATCTTACAGTACTATTCACGCACAATCGGGAAAACGTTGTCAGGAATCTATCTATATGGTCCATTATCTTACAGTACTATTCACGCACAATCGGGTAAAAGATAGATTCCTGCCAAGGCGGGCTTTACAAAATGGAAATAGGTTTAAGTTCAATTTTGACATCTTTAGGACATTCCCCATAGTTCATAGTGATTACATACAAATTTTAGGTTGAAATTAGGTCCAATAGGCTCGGAGGAGTTAGGGTGTAAACAAACACACATCTCATCTTTATATATATATATATATCTAGTGTTTAAACAAAATAGTGATTGAATTTAATCTTTAAATATATATATATATATCTAGTGTTTAAACAAAATAGTGGTTGAAGCTGAATTATTATGAGCAACAAAGGACTAATATCTACGACCATTATTCTTTGGTTTGTTTGTTGAATTTCGCTCAAACTACTCGCAGGCTATCTGCGTTAGCCATTCCTAATTTTAGAGTTATGTTAGATGAAAGGTAGCCAGCCAACACCACTAACTCTTGAATTACTATTTTACCAACAGATAATGGAACTGACCGTCACGTTATAACGTCCCTCACGGCTAAAGGACGAGAATGTTCGCTGACGGGATGTCGAACCCGCGACCTCCAGATTGCGAGTCGAGTGCCTTAACCGCCACGCTATGTTAGGCCTGAGAACATTTTAAGCACACGACTACTACACAACTGGAATTCAGATGAAACTAACGTTGGTTAATTACTCCCAGCCTATTGAGTCAATCTCAAACAATCTTAGCAGGTTGATGTTTTAGACAACATTGAATATTCTAAAGGGATTCAAGATCAAAGTATGAAAGTTGCTGGATTGTTTCTCAAACAACCATGATTTTCTCATGGTCAATGAGACGTAGGGTGTTCAAGGGTGGGATCACCTCAAAATCTTTATTTGTTGATAGATGGAAAGCAAACTGTAAATGTTGTTTATGAAGAAGCTTTGTTATAATTTTAAGATTTTGAGATAAAGTTTATGTTCAAGTTATTACTTTGAAATATATGATTGCTGTTAAACTTACAGTGTTTTAATTAAGTTCAAACATTCACTTCAGTTGACGGGTGTTTCAGCTTGTAATTAATAAAATTAAGCTAACAATCTATAGAAACTATTAGAACTTTGTTTTTACTAACCCACTATTTCGGTTATATGAAATTCAACAATCAGTGCTTTAAACGAGCAGTATTTTTTACCAATTAATTTTTACAAAAACCTGTTCACCGGGAAAAAAACAACAATAAAAAAACATCGTGATTTCAGTAGAAAAAGTGATCAAAAAAAAGTTTTGTGCCTAAAATTTTATTTTATGTCCCATTAGAATCTCCATGGCGGTAGACAACGATCTGTTTGGATACTGGATCGAGATGATGATGAGAAACTACGAAAGATGTGCCACACCTCTTCCGTCCACTTTTCGTCCACTCGCGGTGGAAGACCTTCGAGGTGCTTTCTATTGTCTGTCTACCGGATTAGGTTTATCAATACTCTTTTTTATTATAGAATCGCGTGTTTACTTGAAAATAACAAAGCAAAGAGCCAAGGCTGGTAGGGTTAAGCCTTGAAGGTAATCTGTGTTGAATAAGGTCTTATGATAAACTCCTCACACCGCTGTTAGATGGCGCAGCACTTAGAGTTTTAAAACTAGATTTACCAAGAGTTTTATTGAGAATTTTCAGGAATATAAATATATTAATCACTTTGTAATCTAAATTGGATTAAACTTTAGAAAGTTTTAGATTTTAATAGCTGTTAACACAAGTTAACAAAGGTCAGTATATTTAGGAATTCAAGTTTAATAAAAATATTGAGTATTAAGATTAAGGCAGTACTTGTGTAAGTTTTCACACAGATGTATTAAAGAAATAAAACCAAATGTTAAAAATACACACTAGATGTCTAAAATGAAACTGTGTACTAAAATACTGATGAAGATTCATTAAGACGTCGAAACGTGTAGAGTGTATGATACTGTTCCTAGTCTCAAAGCATTAATATTATCTTTATACAGTAACATTATTAAGTAAAACGATTTTTATTGTGTTTGGAAACTGAAGAAAATCTCATTTAAAATATTTATTGTGGACTTTTAAACGTTGGCTTTGCTTCTTTAAAACATCTGTGTGAAAAATATTGAAGATAACACAGGCCTGCGAATTTAAATTTCATAAAAGTTGCTTTGGATTTTCTATGCTTCAGCTACGCAGATTTTGAAAATGATATTACTTTTTTTTCTATCACGTAAGGCTTTTTTACTTAGATAAAATTATTATAATTTTTTGTGTGAAATCTACGTCTTTTAGTTTCAAAACTACGTGTTGTGGTCTTTCTTTTATGTATTGCGTTATGACGTTTTGTGAAAAATCTGTGACGGAAAAAAATGGATATCATTTTCGGATTCAGCGAACAGGAATTACTGTAGAACATATAGAAATTTCAAGAAAATAAAACCATTGCAAGCCCGTGTAATTTAATTTTATTATGATACGAACTGTATAGGTTTATGTGAAATATATTAAAATGGGATTCTTTGTAAGTTAAAACTTAAAAATAACTACCTATACGAATTTAAGTGTTAAAGTTTATAACAAAAAATAAGAAACTCAATAACCTGAGAGCTTTCAGAAGTTAAAACTTACTTCTTCGGAGGCAACTTCGGAATTTATGTTTGCTGTTAAGCACATCACATAATGGGCTATCTATCTCACTGAGGATATCGAAACCACACTTGCAGTGTAAAAAACCTCAGACTTGTCGCTGAGGTACAGGGAGGAAAAATTGTGTATGAAGTAAAATAATTAGTCAGGTAGTAGGATGAAGAGAATTATAAAAATAATTAAAAATAATTCGGGGACTCAATTTGCCATAAATATTATAAGGTATGAAATAATGAGTAAAACATTGTTAACTAGAATGAACTAAAATAAAAGTAAAAAGTTAAAACATTAACAGTAAAAAATATAAGTTTGCATGCTCATTGTTGTAAAATTGAACACGACGTAGTTATCTGTAACAATAATTATTATTGAAGAACGAAGTTTGCATGCTCATTGTTGTAAAATTGAACACGACGTAGCTATCTGTAACGATAATTATTATTATTGAGGAACAAAGTTTGCATGCTCATTGTTGTAAAATTGAACACGACGTAGTAATCTGTAACAATAATTATTATTGAAGATTAAAGTTTGCATGCTCATTGTTGTAAAATTGAACACGACGTAGCTATCTGTAACGATAATTATTATTATTTAGGAACAAAGTTTGCATGCTCATTGTTGTAAAATTGAACACGACGTAGTTATCAGTAACAATAATTATTATTATTGAAGAACAAAGTTTGCATGCTCATTGTTGTAAAATTGAACACGACGTAGTTATCTGTAACAATAATTATTATTATTGAAGAACAAAGTTTGCATGCTCATTGTTGTAAAATTGAACACGACGTAGTTATCTGTAACAATAAT